CCAGAGAAAATTCACTTTTAAGGTTCCAAATGGCTGAAATTCAGGGTGGGGGGCAGATGAGTTAATGGAGTGCTAAAGCTCTCCAGGAGAAGGGAATCTGACTATCTCCTTTAGGTTTCATGTCTTAGAAGCAACCGTGCATAAAAAGTTAAGTAGATACAGGGTGAGAATTGAATGAAAGCGAGACCATTGGACATCTCATCATTTATGATATGCTTACACACTAGTGATCTAGGGTCCTGCTTAAAAGGTAGAGTGATATGCCAAATATCCCTGAACTACACCCACATAACAATAGAAAAAGCTTGGTTTTGATGGATGATTTCACCCACTTTTATATGTGGGAAAATATTCTTGTTCAGATTCCACAGGTAGAGGCAACATTCTCCTAACCCAAAGAAGTAATTTACTATCTCTCCTTAAAGTGGGATTCAAGTAGGCTGTATTGTTTTACAGTTTCACAGCTGGTATTCTGTCCATTAGCCAGGAACAATAAAAAAGACCAAATAGTTCACAAGGGATTTCAAATGGAATGGAGAGATGTTTATTATAGCTACGGATTCGGGGTTTCAATCAGATTCCCCTGCTTTTTGGTCAGTTATCAAGTTACGTTGCTGATCTGAGACTTACGTAAGATGGGAGGAGAGGACACAAAGGATTCATTTCGTTCAAAAAATTAAATGTATTTCCAGGTCATAGTATAGAATCTGGCATATCTGTACAAGGAGTCCAGTGGTGGGAATAGCCTAGATTTTGATAAATTGGCTCACTGTTCAGCTACACCACAGGCATGTTATGTGACCATAGGGAAGTCTCCATATATTAGCAGTGGAATCCTACACATGCCTACTCAGAAATATGTCCCATTTAAATCAATGGGACTTACTACCAGATATGCCTAAAAATGAAGCCTAAGTGGGCAAAATAGTGAAATCATAGCTGATTCCTTCCTCCTTTCATTTTAAAAATATGTACAGGTTCATGTACACAAATCCATAATAGACTGCTGGTTAAAATCAATCAGTTGTGAACTCTTCTGTATGAATGTATAACCAAGTAAACGGGCAGAAGATTGCTACCCTAGTGTCTACTTTGACGGCAGCAATCCTATACCCAATTATCTCCAGATTTCTGCTGGGGACATTCCCAGCCCTATCTGGACTCTCCTTCACTGGTGGTCTTCAAGCAGAGGTTGGATGGCCACCTGTCACGGATGCATTAGTTGAGATTCCTGCATTGCAGAGAGTTGGACTAGAGGACTGACAGGGTCCCTTCCAATTCTATGATTCCATGGTTCTATGATTTGGGAATGGTGAGGATTGATCCTGGGATCTTTTTGCATGTGAAGCAGTTCTCTACCACTGAGCTCTGGCTCTTCCGCTTCAGTGTCTACGGTCCCTCACCCCCCCCATGTCCATGGAGACCTTCAACCAAGAATGACACTTCATGCATATGCCATAGTAAGCCTATTTAAGGTGCCACAAGGCTCTTTGTTGTTCTGGTTGTAGGCATAGCATGAGCCCAAAGCATGAATACTGCAAGGTTACAAGAGGAGATGATAGCTGGTGAATGGAGCAAGGAGAACAACAGAGGAAATGAGAGGCAAGAACATTTGAACAGGCTTCATAAAAAATCTGCACTGGGCGTGCTTGTTCACCGCATAAGCTAATCCCCATTTGATTGCTGGTGTGTGTTTTTCATACACCCAAGGTATTAGGAGTGGCAACGAGATGGATGTCTGAAGGAGGACATTAGGTGTAAGCTGATGGATCTGTATTAGTGACTGTGAGGACAGGACCAGACAGGACCAGGGTGATAGTTATTCTAAATGAATATGTTAATTTGGGATAAAAGTGTGTCATCCTGTGGCTATCCTCTGCTGACCTTCCCTGGTGCCTCTGAAGGCAAATAAAAGAGTGATTTATAGTCCCCGAGTCCCATAGTATTTTAACGACACTGTGTTCTCAAATTGTAATGCAGTTGGTATTCTGCTGTAACACTGTGTGCGTGACCTTGATCTGCAGGATTCAGTTCCAGACAAACATTCCATTTGGAAATCTTTTAAATCTTCTTCTTAAAATAAACTGCATATAAATATGGGTGAGGGGAAACTGCGAGGCCCCCCCCCCAACCCATGTAAGTATTTGTTGCTTTACTGCAGCTACTTCAGTGGCCATTGAAAAAATAGATTGATTGACAACTTTGTTTTTAAAGCTCTTCATTACACAGAGATAAACAGTGAAGAGTAAATCCACGATGTGAAAGACCCCATAAATCCTGGGAGATAAGCAATAAAGGTCCTGCAGCAAATCCTGGTTGTGTCAACTGCACATAAAGCATGTCTGATTATTCTTATCTAGCTCAGCTTTTAAATTCTGATATATTCATCATCCCAATTATACTTTCTAAGCAGGAAAAAAATGGAAGTCTGAATTATTATTTTTGAGCATGTACATCTGCATACACATCTTTCATTTAAAGCACATGACTTCCCTCAAAGAATCCTGGAAACTATAGTTTTCCCTTCATGGAGCTACATTTCCCAGCACCCTTAACACACTTCAGTGTCTAGGCTTCTTTGGGGGAAGTCATGTGCATAGCCCAAGTCTGTACATAGACCAAGTCAGTTAATACAAGGCGTTTCCTGTAAATTGCTTTAAAATCTGGCAACTAGGTCATTGACTGGAACTAGCCACATGAAGCCGTGTTCACCTGCATTAAAATGGCTCCATGAGGTTCTTGTGTGTTTCCAGACAAAAATTAATATGCTGGTATGTGTTTTTTATGGCTTTGGGCATGAATATGTAAGGGACTGGTTGTACCCGTATGAATCTGCGATTCATGTTGCGAACTTCCACAAAGGCAACTGTGGGGGTGCCTTTCTTTGCAGGGTAGACAGTCTATCAGCAACAGGGCCTTCTCAGTGGTGGCACCTACATAATGGAAGGCTGTTCTCATGTTAAGCTTTCAACACCTGTACAAAACTGAATTATTTGCCCCTGCTTTAAACTAAGTAATGATTTTAATGTTTACTACTGCTTTTATGCTTTATCGCAATGTTTCATATTCTATGCTGGTTTTTAATGGGTTGTTTCAGTGTCAAACTCATAGTCAATGTCCATTGATTTCATCCGGGTTTACTCAGAGTATGACTCTCTCAGAGAGAACCCAAGCTATTTACTGTTTTGTTATTTTATTTGGATTTTATGCTTATTTTCAGCTTTGAGGGATTCATTGAAAAATTTAAACTGAACAGCAGGAAGAAAGCTATCTAAATAAATAAATAAATAAATGATACATAAAGCAAACATGTATTGGCCGTGGCTTCTTTGGGAAACTTGCAGCATGGTTGGCTTGAAAAGTGTAGAAAGTAGGACATATTCAGAGCCTCTGTAGAACATTATTCCACGTATCCATAGTTAAACTTTCATGGACCTGTACCCAGTGAAGGAATAGTTACCATGTATCTGCAACAACTGGGAAAACTGGAGAATAGAGGTCGCAGTGATGATGCCTATTCCTTTTAGCTGGTGGCTTCAGATGATTAGCCTTCTGCACAGCCAGAGCATGGCCATGCATATGTCCTCAAGAGGCCACCATTTTGCAAATGTTCAGATGGGTTACAATATAAATCCCTGTACACCATATAAATAAGGTGCTTTTGATCTCTGTACTTTAGTGTCTTCATTGTTCTTCACATTTTACAGATAGGTGATTGAATCTGAGGTGTAGTGACTTCCTCAGTAAGCATGTAAATATAACCTGCTAATGGAACCATGCTTAAATCCTACTGAAATCACTGGGATTTAAGTAAGCTGTTCATTACAGTTCAGGTTTTGCGGGATGGTGTCCCAAGGCTATGGTAGCCCTGGCTAGGAACGAAAGAACCTGTCCATTTCAGTTCCCGCAGTTTCTAATTCTTTCAATCTCCTATCCTTACCCCCCCCCCCAAGCTGTTTAGCATAGATGGGCAGGTATCAGAAAGCCCCCTGTCTCCTGGGAGGTCTCTCAAAGCACTCACCCATTTCCCCCTCTCCTTCACTTCCAATTCACCCAACCCCACACTGCATTTGCCCCAATGGAGGAAAAACAAAAAAGCCCCAAATCACCATGAAACTGTAAGCATGTGAAAGAAAGTTACATACTTTTCATTTAATTCCATTTGCCGTCAGATCTGAACCGTAACAGTAGACTTTGGTCACTGGGTGAAATCCATTGCTATTTTACCTAACATCAATTGTATTGATGGCATGTCACGTCCAAGAAAGTTTATTGGGGTATCTAACCATTTGGGCTGTACAGGGCCTACCTTTAAAACTGGGTTGTTATAACATCAAACAAAATGTCAACGTCTGTCGAGCATGCAGGTTTTATAAATTGTTTAGACTGGGGATAATTTGGGTTTTGTATCTCATTCTTTTCAGATCGTGTAGAAAGGAAGCTCAAAAACCGAGTTTGGGTTGGGGAAGTGCTTTGAATTTGCGATTGTTTGATGGAAAGGCATAGCCTGCACCATTACCCTTCCAATCAACAGTTTCCTTCTTTCTTCAAAGCCCACAGGTCCATTATTTACTTTTCTTCGCCTTGGGTGGCATTTTTGAGGCCATGCTTTCAACCCGATAATAATTTATTTAAAATTCATTTCAAAAGGGAATTTCAGAATGGCGTGCCAGATCTGTACATCCTCTGAGTCATTTCTAACTCGGACAACGGTTGTGCAATTGACTCCGGGGCGGGGAAAACAAAAAAGAGAGAGAGACTGCAATAATACTGTAGTACGCTGGCAAGCAAAACTCTCTCTAGTGAATTGGAAGGCTTCGAGTAATAAAACGATCTGCTGATTGCCAAGCAAGGCTATTTAGATTACCACACCTTAGTGACCCGCCATCTTCCCCATTCTCCGGTCTCCGCTCCCCTTCCTTCAACCCCAGAACAACAACATCACTTTCAGCTCTCCCCCCGCCCCACTTTTCCCACACACAATGCAACCCAGACCTCACCTTCAGCTCTCCTGAGACCACTTTGGAAGCCAATTCGATGACACAGCCAACAGCCATGCGTGCAGCACCGGACGAATGCAGCTCATTCCAAATGGTGTCACTGTCCACCTGAGCAAACAGTTAGCAGAGGGGGTGGGGGAGGGAAAGAAGAGAGAGAGAGAGAGTTTAAGAGAAAACAAATCAGTGAGGGAGGGCTGGCAGGGTGACAGCCAATGTACAATAACATTAGTCTTCCGACTTGGCCAGCTGAAAAGGCCTTCTGGACATGGCTTTGCTTATACTTTTTCTCTACACCAACTTCTCCAATGGAAACACATTCCTGTCATGCCTCACTGCCATTCCCTGTTTAGATTTCTCATTACAAACAGCATTACATAGGCCAGAGCTGGCCCTAGCTAACAGGCCCGTTAGACACCAGGCCGCGGTAATAGATGCAGCATACGCTCAGAGTGGCCTTACTTCTAAGAAAAGAATTTGCTTTTGCAAAAGCCAGAACAAAAGCTTCAATGAAATGGCATGTGCTTACAGGAAAGCTCTGTTATAATGAACTCAAGCTGTAGCAAACACCTTTCTTTTTTTTTTTAGTGTATTGGAGGGAGGCAACTATGGTTCATATTCCTACAATAAGAGGCATTTCAAAGTCGCTGCCAACATGAATCAGAAAAGGGTCTGCAATTTAGCACCTGTGAGCAGGCAGGGAAGGCAGGTCAAATTTGTGGGGTATGACTGTGAGAGGACCCTACTGATGTCCAGAGCAAATGGTCTCCTCTCTTTGCTCCCACTGCCAGCTAACACAGGTGGCAGCTGTGTCATCTAGATGGTCAGATGGGGGGGGTAGTTGTACAAATAAGGGGGGTGGTCTCCATGGGCATCATCTTCCTCAGGGATTAACATTTCACTCATGGGAGCAGCAGAAACAACCAAAAAGACATTTGGTACCTCAAAAACAAACCTCTTTTGCGGACTCAAGCTCATTCCGTCACATACATGAAACGAAATCTTAGCTGGCAGGCATATAAAGGAGAATATGCTAAGGAGGTTGAATGGCAATTGGATACAACCATTACAGTAAGTGATGAATAAAGCTTAAAGATGCATTAAATAGATGCACTTTTAAGGTTCTGCAATAGCAGAATTGCTGAGATGACTATTAAGAGCTGTGGTAGGGCAGGGAACCATTTTCAAGAAACTGCCATGGATAGCACAGATATCCTAGCATCAATAAGGACAAGGGTGATAGTGCTAGCTGTATTCTTCCAGTGGCTACCATTGTGATTTCCCATGATTCTCCAAAGCCCTGTAACATTACTCAAAGGTAATTAAGAAGGACAGCTGCTCAGCACTTATTGGAGCAGAGCAAAAGTGGGCCTAGGCCAATTGGATCAGAGACGGGAGGCCACCAGTAATAGCTTGATGATTACTAGTCTTCTCTGTCCCTTAGAATTTATTTTATTTTTATTAAATTTATATTCCCTCTTTTGGGGGGGGCAGTTTTCCAGGGCAACTTGCAGTAATATATAAATTAAACAAATTTATATATTGGTTTATATATAAATTGGTTTATACAAAAACCCAATATATTAAACAAATATAAATTCAACAGATTGATGTCACTATAAACACACCATCATTAAAACTAAAAGGAAACTATCACAACAAAATTGAACAGAGGCAGCCAGAGGTAACATTAAAACAGTGGTCAGCACTATAAAGCCAGTGATAGCAAGATAAAACAGCAATATAATGACAGCACAACTAAAATCCTTACAACTAAAATTTTGAAAAGGTAAACAAATATGTTTTCAGTTCAATGATGGAGATGGTTGAATCCTAAATGTGGGCTCCAAAATGTGGGGGCCCCCATTGAAAAAGCCCTCTTCCATATGTCCACCAGCCTGAACCAACATTGCACCATCTAAATGATAATGGAACACTATAGGTAATGTATATCCAAGGGAAAATGAGCGCCAACACTTAAGTTTTGAAATACAACTACACTAAAATTTAAGGCATCAACATTGTTCATATTTCAGCAACACTTCAAACAGGCAGAATTATTCATGACAATGTTACAAGCCAGAATATGCCGTCCCACTCTGAAGTCTAAGACTCTTAAGGCACATATGGATTTACTTCATTCAGAATTTCCTGAATGAATATAGTCGTTTCGAGCTTTTCCAAATACAGCCAGCGTAGCTCAATCACTGGCATGTGTAACAAAGCTAGACCATAGGAAAGCCCCAGATGATAGAAATTAAACTACCTGTCCCAGAAGTGTGTGTGTGTGTGGATTTATTCAAAAAGGCTGAATGGCTTAAATAACAATTAATTTACATCTATCCCATGTGAAAGCTACTGGATTTTTACCTACAGCCTGCATAAGTGTGCCTCCCCCCACCTGCAACTTTTGCAGAAATAATAGGCCCATGTAATATGTTTTGAAAGGAAGATGAGTTATTCTCCTCTACACTCTCAGCAGCATTCTTGTGCTCTGGAAGTGTGGGGTGAAAGCTAGTGTTTCACACACACACACCCCAGTCTCCGAGTGGCAAGAGACTCCAGGAGTTCCAGTGCTTAGCCAGGGTTAGGTTCCCTTGGAATGAAGGTCATCGGAGACTATGGTGTCCCTGGGATACAGTGGTACCTCAGGTTAAGAACTTAATTCGTTCCGGAGGTCCGTTCTTAACCTGAAACTGTTCTTAACCTGAGGTACCACTTTAGCTAATGGGGTCTCCCACTGCTGCCGTGCCGCTGCCACGTGATTTCTGTTCTCATACTGAAGCAAAGTTCTTAACCCAAGGTACTATTTCTGGGTTAGCGGAGTCTGAAACCTGAAGTAACCTGAAGTGTCTGTAACCCGAGGTACCACTGTATATGGTTTCATTTGCACATGTATACAAACTGAGCATAGGACAGAGGGCCTTGCTTCCTCATGGGGTTTCCAGCTTTAGTCAAGAGCCACAGCTTTAGTCAAGAGCAAATATGAGCCTCTGTGTCTCCAACTTCCAGCATCAGCCAAACTCAGCCGCCTCCTCCTCCTCCTCCTCCTCCTCCTCCTCCTCCTCCTCCTCCTCCTCCTTCCTCTTCTTCTTCTTCTTCTTCTTCTTCTTCCATACACAGTGATCTCATGTTCAACCAGGTGAGGGAGCTTGCCCCATTTGCCTCACTGGTGACAGGGTGACTTCTTTTTAAAGTACATGGAAGTACTTAACTAGTCAGCTGAGGTCAATGCCCTAACAAAGGAAATGGCTGGGCAGGTTTCCTCTTAAAGATTCTGAACTCACAGATACAGGGTTGCAGGTTTGGGAAGGGATCTGCAGGTATCATCCACAGTGAGAATGAGAAGTCATTCTGGAAGCCACAGATTTGCCATGTCATCTGGTGATTTATGCCTTCTTTACTGAATCCATGTGTCTCCGTAGGTACAAAAGCTTTTAGAGGCTCACACTTTGCCGTTTGCTTCCAGAGAAAATACATTGCCTCCAACTCACCCCCCACCCCAACCCTGTTGCTCTTTAGTGGCAAGCAAGTAGAAACGAAATCCATCCCTCTTCCAAAGTGTTCCTGCCTTTAAGAACTCTGTGTGCCATTAAGATCCAAGTGTCATCAAAGAACCTGCCATTCCCAGGCCTTGTTGGCAGAAGTCCATGATTCTAGGTGAAATATACTCGGAGTCGAGCGTGAATTTCATGCTCTTTATTCAGCTCATAGTAGCAATGAATGAACTTTTCCCCAAATGTCTAGCTATATACACATTATTTACACACTGGACCCCACGTGATTGGCTAATTCCTGGTTGCTACTTCATTCAGAAGCCTGATTGGCTGCTCCTGCAGGCCAATCAGGTCGCTGATTCACTTCCACCTGGAGCTGGACTGGGTGGCTCCTGCAGACCAATCAGACTGCTGCGTTCTGGATCCTATTGTTCTAGGATTCAGCTCAGTACATAACACTAGGAAAGGTGATGCAATCTAGCACAGAAGCCGGCTGTCCTTTCAGGGTGGGGACTCAGCTGCTGGGCAGTCAGATGAGCACCGCTGCTGCTGCTGCTCCACTAATGTTGTCTGCTACTGAAATCCAGGACCCACCACAAAAGAACCAGGGCACGGGTCCCCAGATGGCAGCAATTAACAATTTCTTACTGTGAAGACATTTGTCTGAAATGGTCTTTCCAAACCTCCTAATTCTGAAGCAAGTTGCGCTGATTTCATAGAACTTAAAAGGTAAAGGTAAAGGTACCCCTGCCCGTACGGGCCAGTCTTGCCAGACTCTAGGGTTGTGCGCTCATCTCACTCTATAGGCCGGGAGCCAGCGCTGTCCGCAGACACTTCCAGGTCACGTGGCCAGCGTGACAAGCTGCACATTGGCATTTGGCAATAACAAAAGTTCCTCTAGAAACACAATTTACAAAGACTCATAATCTAGTCTCTAGAAACTTGCTATAACATGAAATAATAATAGGTGTAAATATATGATGCAAACTACTAATAATTATAAATAGCAGAATGTAGGCACCCTATATATAGAGATGAGCAAACCAGTGATATTTTAGGGAGCAGGCTAGCAGGCGGGGCCCATTACTTACATCAAAGGTGCCTACACAATACAAAACACTGTTGCTGTATGTAGGTTTATTTTATTCATTTTTTATCTTATATTTTGGACATGTACATCCAGGTTTTTTTTCTTTAATTTTTTTGGAGGCCCCCAAGAGAGTGGGGCCCTAAGCTATAACTTGTTTAGCTTATACGTAAATCCAGCACTGCATATGTGGCTGTCAGCCTATGAAGAGGTAAAAAAAAAAGTTACTTGTCATCGGCAAGACAGTCCCCACTACCCTGCCCAAACTTCACACAGTAATATATAAGATACTTCAGAAGGAAGATGCTCTAGCACTGGGTTCTTCTGGTGCTAATATCCTATTATGGTTTTTTTTCTTGGTTTTTTTTCTTCTGGTTATGTACTTAATTCGTTCCGGAGGTCCGTTCTTTTTTTTTAAAAAAAAAAAATATTTATTAAGATTTTTTAAACAACAAAAATAACATCAAACAGATAAGAAACAAAGAAACATCAAAATCAGATTATAAGAAAAAGTAAGAATAGAAAAAGAAAATACAAATAGAATAAAAATATTCATGAATCATATTTTCATAAACTTTGGACTTCCTCACATCCCCCTTCCCTGCGTTCCCAACCATGTAGTTATATGCAGCAATTTGTTACCTTACTTCCATTCTTATTTTATAAATCTCAAATATTCAATTTCAACTTAGAATTATATTAGTCATAAATTCAACTGCTTATATTGAACCAAATTTTACTTCAAATTTCAACGTTACCTTAAACGTCACATATTCTCATATATCTTACAATAATTTTACTGCTGCCATGTTTCTTTCAATCGTGCATTCTCCTAACATTCATACAATTTGTAGTATTTTTGTAAATAGTCTTTAAATTTTTTCCAATCTAATATCCTATTATGAAACAGGATTGCCAGATTGTGACTTGGGATGGAGCCCTGGTACTCAGACAACTGCAACTGAAGGAAAGTCTTCAACTCCCATGTGCTCTCCACAAAGATGCAGTACACCCATTTGATCCTTTACCTGTCACCTGGGATGTGGACCTGAAATGGAAGACCTCATTCTGTATCCCTAAGTACGTGAAAACAGATAAGTAGGGCTGTTGCCAAAGCACGGCATGAACTAATATATTTATTCGTCACTATCGCTCCTGAATGCTGAGGATCAATGGAGAAGGGCAGTGGCTTCACCTCTGCATGAGAATCATAAAAGAAATACTCAAAACCAGGTGTACTGTGAACTTGTCCTAAATCAGGAGTGGTCAAGCTATGCTTCCAGAGCATTGTGCTATCACACACCCAAACACACTTTCTCTTCCTATCCTATTTGCACTAAAACTTCCAAAAAATTTTTTTGAAAAAGGAATGGGAAGTATTTCTGGCCATTTCATGAAATGCAAGGGGAAATCTTATGCCAAAAAACAAAACCATAAAGTAGTAGAAAAAGGAGGCACATAAAGAGCAAAACTTTTAACAGTGTAATTCTCGGGATTTCAATGGTGGTTCTCCCCCCCCCCCCCGTTCTTACATAGCCAGTGCTTTATCAAACACTGAGGATAAGAATATCAGAAGAAAAAATATTCTTCTCCAAGGAGTTCTAAACATGTGCCCATTGATGTTGGCATCCACCATGTTCATGGAAATCATAAGCAGCTAATGTCAATTACATGCAACTAAACCACGCAAAAGAGCCACAACTTTCTGGCTCACAATATATAATCACTGTATCCTGCACAAAAGATGTTGCTTGGTCCTTTCCTAAAAAGATTTTTTCCCTTAATCAGAAAAGTTGATGCACCTTCACTCCCCCCCCCCCAGAGGTACTTTTGCAGCACAAACATCAAATCATTCTGATCTGCTGAAAGGAGCTTGGCTGACTCCAAGGGGATACAGCGTTTGGCACATTGAAGTCTGCAGCTAAGCCTAATTTAACACTTCTGCCCTGCCTGCCTGAATTCCTGCAAGGTGTTACATTGGCACTTCCTGAGATCATTCAGCTTGGAAGTCTGACACTGCACATTGACCTTTCCCTTTCTGCTTGCTCCTCCCAGCCTCCTCCTCCTTTCTTTATTTTTTAAGCATCGTTGGATTGGGCAGCTGCCTCATTTTATAAGATAAATGTGGAATTCTCTTTTGTCTGCAGTACAATCCCTGGGGTACCAGGACTGAAACCCAAACTTTGCCCCGGCACAGCTTGAGAGCCCATTCTTCATCTAAACAAATGCCGTAAGACCTTTTATGCTTGCTTGCTGCTTTTTTTTTACAGCATGTCAAAAATCATATTGACTGCCAATAGTGATGTGATTGGTGTGGCCTCCTTGGAGTCATAAAAGAGGCAGTCTGTTATCAATTTTTCTGTGTGTATCCAGGGAATTTTGGGCAGGTTCACTTCCAAGTTATAAATGACAACAACTCAAATGCCACAGAAGTTTTGAAGCTGGAATCTGATTATGCTATCAGAGGCCCTGTTCTTCTTTCTTTCTTTATTTCCTATTAATAAATCATAGATAGATGGCAGATAGATCTATATCACTACCCACAAATGTGTGCATGCACACATATATATCAATATATATTCATATAGATCTATGAATTTGATTTAGCTTGTACTGATATTTGACCATTACTCCTGCTGTTGCGTTATTTATTATTTCCATAGCATCAACACACCATACCAAAGGTACAACAGCAATAAAAACACCTTAAAGAGCTCAAAGCATTTTTAAAATCTACAAATACCAGTTGGTTAAAAGAAATTCACATTTCAAGGCCTGTCGAATTAACATCATTTTAAGACATTATCTAAAAGAAGGCAGGGGTGAATACTGCCAAACTTCCATTGGCAGGGAGTTCCCCCCCTTATTTTAATTGTAGGTTTCTGGAGGCAGAGAATTGTCCATTCTTGCCCATTGAGGTGTTTATATATCAATAATATATGTTTCATTGAGTTTTGCATACACTGAGTAATAAATTCATTCTTACAATCTATCCATACAGCCACATATCAGCAGAGCAAGAGAATCTTAATCTCAGGACAGTGGGTTCAAGACCCATGTTGGGCAAAAGATTCCTACATTGTAGGGGGCTGGACTAGATGGCCCTTGTGGTCCCTTCCTACTCTGCAATTCTGTGATTCTATGATTAAGGAATCCCAATGATTGAACCTGGCACTAATGCAAAGGCGACATTGATCGTATTCCAGTAGCTTGAGTTTAGATACACAAGGCAGCATGATCACATTTCCTCTGCCAAGGCTGCATTGTTTATTATTAATGTATCCCCAATGAAGTTTGCAATACCTTGAAGACAAATGTGTGCCTGTCATGTATTCATTTGCATTTGCACACCAGGGCATTGTATGGAGTGCTAGAACTGTGACGGCTGTAACTTGGTTAGAATGATATGGCGATACCATTCACATATTGTGAAGCTTAGCATCATGATCCCAATCAATTTTGCATCTAGCTCCCAAAATGGGTAACCAGAGTATATAGTATATATACACCATTGAGTTACCCAGCAGAAAGCTTCTTTAGGCTACCTTACTACATCAAAGTGAAACCTACTTACCCCAAGGCCTCCGCAGGGCAACAACGAAAATAGTTTCTGAGGCACACTGCCTATATAAAAAAAGAGGGGGAAACAGTAAGCATTAAGATAGAACTTCATGTTTTGGATGACAACTACTATCAGCCCAGTCAGCACATTTGTAATGGGATAAAATTTTGTGCAATGCACAGATATACAGCGGCAGATTTACAAATACTCTTTGATAAGCGTCAAAAATATTGACATTTAGGAAACATCCAGAGCAGTTAAATCGCAGGAACTGGAACCCTGGTTTGTCTACCTTGGTTCCAGGAAAGCAGTATTTCGTAAAGTCTCATTATCGAATTATTTCTGTGGCTGAATTTGCAATCTTTGGAGGCTCACTTCTGTTGAAAGCTGATGGTTTGGTGGTCACGTGCCAGTGTTTGTGTATGGGAATATCTGCCATTGGTTGCAAGTTAATAGAAACCAGGAGAGGTCTGGAGGTCCTTAGTGGTTTTCATTATCATCACTTCAGGCCAGTGGTGACTCTGGTAAGAGCATGAAAAACTTGCTTCAAAGCTGTAATATATTCACACATACTGTCCAGATTCTTAAGAATGTCAGCTCTGGTTAAACTGAAGCATTAGCCATTGTGATGGCCTGACACATAATTTTGGCATTTATAAATTTGCCATAATTAGGAATAGTTGGTTTTTAGAAATGCTATGTTCGTCAGTGGGGGAGGAATGGAAACTGAAAATGGGCAATTGTTCTGAATTGTGCTTATTAAAGGAACATGGTATGGTGCCAATTTGAAAATCATGATAATTTACATCACATCAAGATGTAATGTTGTATGGCACATTGTAATGAACTATAAGTTGTCAAAGGCAGCATGTTAAAGGATTTTTTAAAGTTACATTTGGTTTAGGAAACCTCTTAAGTAGATGCTCAGTTAAATGACATCAGGATATGAACACATACTTAACCATCTTCTAATTTCTGCTGTAGTGTTTTTGAATTTACTTCTTAATGTAAAGTTCATGAAAAAGCATTTATTTATTTATTTATTTTAAAAAAATTTTATTGGTTTTACAAAATTTTAGGAACAAACAAACACTTAAAAAGACATACAAACACATATAGTTTCATAATGTTTTTCATAAACCTCTTTTCTGAGACTCCCCCATACCCCCCCCTTTCTGCATCCCAATGTCCATAGTTTTATAGCAACTCCCAATGTTACTTTCCAATCCCTGTCCTTAGTTATCTCTATAATCTGACCTTATATCACTGTATCCCTTTGTTTCTGAAAACCATAACACTCTAACATTCATCAAGTTTATAATAGTCCTTAAGATAGCTTTTGAATTTTCTCCATTCTTCTTCCACCGTCTCTTTTCCTTGGTCACGGATTCTGCCTGTCATCTCGGCCAGTGTCATATAGTCCATCACTTTCATCTGCCATTCTTCCAGAGTGGGTAGCTCTTGTGCATGAAAAAGCATTTATTCACATTGCTAAATCAGGCTCAAAATCTATTTTCTGTAAGTCTCTTTTTAACTCCTCTTTGAACCTTTCTTTACTGATGTCTTGTAAAACCTGGGTGTTTTGCTTTTGTGGTGGTGGCATTTTAAAAAAACCATATAGCAGAGTCTTGTGCAATATGAATATTCTTTCACTATCTACTATAGTTCACTTTTTAAAAATAAATAAATTAGATTTTGGTAAAAACTAAAAATAGTTCAGCAACTTTGGCAAAAAAAATAATGCTCAAAAACTTTTGTGTCTGGATTTTCACTTTTTGAAGTATGGCCTCCCTAACATCATCCAACTTTTTCAAGCCCCAAACTGGGACATGCATCTTTTAGGACATGCTTCTGGGAAAATCATGTGACCAGCGCCTCACTCTCATCCCAAAACAATTCCTCCAAGATCAGCTGCTGGGGAACATGAGTGAGAGAGGACCATTATACTCACGTCCTGCCAGTGGGATTTCCATAAGGATCCAGTTGGCTACTATGAGCACACAAGTGCTGGGCTAGATGGACCTTGGGTCTGATTTGGCCGGGCACTTAGTTTGTTCTTAGGTTCTTTGTCTCCAAATAGTCCAGCAATAGTCTTTTGAATGTTGGTTCTAGCAAGGAAGTTGGACCATTTGGCCAACAAAATGTATTGGGCTGACAGAACTAAACATTACTGCATGTTGTGTTATCAGGTGTATTCAGCATGCGCTAGTCAAAGATATTTTCGTACGTGCAGCATGCTCCTTCTCCTAGGACTAACACTTTAAAATGTCTTGTTTCGGGCCTGCAGAAGTCCTGCCTTCACTTATCCCTTTGCTCCCTTCCTGTTGCATGCACTGGCGGAGGAAGAGGAGTGCGGGGGGAGCGCACCGCCCCCAGCAGCGCAATCCCGGTGGGGTGCCTTAATTAGGAATATGGCACCTGCTGTCCGCCCCCCCCCCCCCCCGGTGCTGGAGCATGAAGCTCTGCCACTGGCTGCATGGAAAGGAAGAGTCCTGTGAAATAAGTCAAACAGCCTTATGTTCAGGGTTCTATTTGCCCATGCAATTTAAATATCCTTGCCACAAAAGGGTTAATGTCCAGAGGATAAGAAAGCAGAGACAGAGAGATAGAAAGAGAAAGATCTCTACTTTCCGGCAAGGACCTTTTCCTAATCTGTGTTGGCTGCTGCTGCAACATTCTCTTTCTACAATGCAATGCATTTGGAAAAAGTGATACTTTTTTTTTGTTATACTGCTTGCCAAGTATTTTAAACTGACACCAGCTATGACTAATGACAGTGCTGGAATGTGCTGTTCTCAGTAGAATAGAGCCCTTTACAGACCTAGGATTTTCCTGGGGTCCAGCTTCTGTCTGTTCAGGGGGCTGGTGCCATACAGCAGTGAATGATGTTCAGAGTGAACCAGCTGTATTTCTTCCAGACTGGCTTTTCGACCTCGGATCCGCTGAAAGAAAGCAGCAGAGGTTTACAATATTCTACCGATAATATAAGGAAGACAGGGAGTGGGGGGGGAGCAAATCCAAAATAACATTAAATAGGATTAATCATGGGCAGCAATTGCATCATATGAGAATGTGAGACTGGTTTTGTTTAATATTCTTCAAGAAAGGAAAAGCAAGGATGGTTTTAACAAATGCATTGGTCCCATGGTAAATTAAACATGTTAGAATAACACAGTACTTTGCATGCAAAAAATAAATGCCCCGTCCCCAGACAGGTTTCCTCTCCCCTTCCATGCAAAACCACAGGGACACCAGTCACATGATTACCAATGGCTTCAAGTTACAAGGAATGAGATTCTGACTAAACATCAGGAAAAGCTTTCTGACAGTAGGAGCTGTTCAACAGTGGGATGGTCTCCCTTGAGATGCTGTGGACTCTCCTTCATTGGAGGTTTTGAAGCACAAGTTGGATGGTCATCTGTCATGGATGCTTTAGCTGAGATTCCCGCATTGCAGGGGTTTTGAACTAGATGATGCTTGTGGGTACCGTACAACTCTACGATTAGCTAGCACCAAAGGCCCTGATCCAGAGTGGAATTGCAGCAAGGACCAAAGGTTTAAAGCCTTCTCCTTCCCCCACCAGGGTCTTGGTCAGAACCTCCATGTCTGCTGTTTACACTTTAGAAGCCCATGCAAACAATTGTTCATAGTGTGAATGAGGTTACATTTAGTTTTGTCCTAAGGCAGGGGTAGTCAGTATGGTGCCTTCCGGATGTTGTTGGACTACAACTCCCATTATCCCTGATCCCTGACAACAAAAGATGGGAATTGTAGTCCAATGACATGTGGAGAGCATCAGGTGGACTACTCCTGCCCCAAGTTAATCAAAAAACAACAACATGTTTCCTAATTAACTTGTCTTTAGGATATTTGCATTGGAGGGTCATTTATTCACAATATCTGATGCACAGAGTTTGTCTGCAAAGAGTTTGTCCATGGAAATTTGATGGAAGCTGAAATGGTTTATCATAATTGTAGAATGGTCGATGGTCAGTCTTGTTTATCTAGAACAGGAGTGGGCAACAATTTTCAGCTTGAGGGCCACATTCTCTCATGGGTGTCCTTATAGGGCCTGTATAGCTTCGTGGGCAGGTCCAGAGGCAAAGATGTAGGCAGGGCAATAAAGGTGACTCTTATCATTGTGCAGTCGCACAAAGGTCAGAGAATTTCTACACACACCTGTCCATTCTTCATCCAGGAAGCAAAAGTTCAAGGACACAGTTCCACTAGCAGCTCAGTGGGTAAAGAGCAATGTAACAGGAAACAGGAGAGGTGAGTTTGAGTTCCATTCCTAGAAAATGTGCCTTCTTTTAAGTACAGTAACCATAGGTGGTCATGCTTTGCAATCCCTGGAATCTCCACTGACAAGGGGATCTCAGGTACCAAGGCTGAGATGCTGGATAGCTGCTTTCAGTTGGAACAGACAAGAGTGGACTAGATAAATAATATAACTCTTCATCAATCAGTTTCACATATTTGTTTAATCAGTGTAGATATGGACAGTCAAGGGGGCACAGTAGGGGAGAAGGGAGAAGGGGATCTGATTGTGAGTGCAGTCATTCACGAAACCACATTTATGGTCAGTAGGGATGGATTAATCTATCGATTCTGGTTTCTCTGCTTCTCATTTTTACAGTCTTCAATTTAGTGATTATTATTAACTTTGTGATTATTATTATTTAAAGCCCTCATGAAAATTCACCACCATTGTAGTGCAAACTTCTCTTTTCTCTTTGATATAATAAGAATGTAAGAGTGTCGTCATGCAGCTGTTGTTCGTGTGGCTGCCAACAGATGGTGCTGCAAACTATAGAATGATGGCAGAATTCTGAGAGTGGCTCACCTTTGGGTGGTCCATCACAGCTGCACTGGAGGAGAAGATGGAGGCAGTGGTGGAGCTTCATGCTCCGGCACTGGGGGGGGGAGCGGAGAGCAGGCGGGGGCGGGGCTGGTGTGCCTCCCAGGGGTGGGGGTGCCGTCCGCAGGGGTGTGGCGCGCATCCTGGGGGTGGGGCACGCCGCCTGCGGGGGCAGGGCCCCCAACGGGAGCGGGGGGCAGCTGGGATGGCACCCTGCCAAGATTGCGCTGTGAGGGGCGGTGCGCTCCCCCCCCACTCCTCTGTTCATGGATGGAGGCAGGGAGGCAGACAGGAGGGAGAATGGACAAGCAGCCCAGGGAAGGCAGGCAAGCAAGGAGCCAAGAAGCCCAGATTTACCTTTAAATGTGACCTGAACTGAATTTCTCCTCCATCCCTAACATTGGCCAGTAGTGCCAGCCACATGGGAAGTTAAAGTAACTGCTTCTGGCCCCTTGCAGGTCTTTGCTAAGATGAAATAGAGCAAGTCAACACAACTTGCGGTCAGAACTGATAAATTTATCAGGAAAAATGCTATTCCCAGTGTGTTTAAATCAGACTTCTTTAGAGGCAAAATGATTTTATACTGATAAACATTTGGCGTAGGTAACATAGGAAACTGCCTTTCTAGAATCTTAGCACTGTTAAAATTCAGGGATCTATTTTTCCTTATACTGATAAAATGCAGCGTTGCATTAATCTGCTGTTCCTCGCTCTCTGTCTTGTTTCAGTTACAAAGTTGCCTCCTCTGGAGATATCATTGTCTTGCCCTGCTAATGGCATGTTTGGATTTTCTTCACAATTGCTTACCGGAGACGTAACAGGGCTTTGCCTAGTAAGAAATCAAGAGCATTTGAAAGAAATTTCTGGTAACCAAACCTTGAATGTTGTTTCTGCAGCAGGAGCCAGAAAGAAACTGCACAAAAGATTTATACTCCTTACTAGTATTCCAATGCAAACATTGCTTGTTTTCAAAGGCCAATAAACATTTAAGGGAAGAGGGTATTTTCTGCGACTGTCAACAGGGCTTGAGATAATAGACTGAATCTAGGATTTAGCCTTGCCTTGCCTAAAAAAATGGACTATGTTCCCTAAAACTTTGAGTTAAGTCACAAAACAGTCTCCAAATGAAGTAGTGGAAGCCTCTATTTTATTACTACAATTTGAAACTGAAACGTACCCAATAATTCAGGGGGATTTTGCTATCCAAGACGTCTCGGTCTGAAACACCTTTATTTAGAAGTAACTTATTTCAGTTAGGGAAGGTATAATATTTTCTCCCTTTATGTTGCTAATCTTCTCAAACCATTTCAGCTTCCATCAAATTTCCATGGACAAACTAGTTTCAGCACCATGACTGAAGAGTTTTTCTCTTCCCACTCCGGCACCCCTCAGTTTACTTCAAAATATGCTTTGGTTGAAAGGTTAGCATAGACTCTCATTTCAGTGAAATTTCTTTCCAACTTAATACGGTACTTTAGCTTCACAGTCTAAAGAACTTCACAATGGGGTTTTAAATAACTGATTTCTGCACCTCTCCCAGAACTCTAAGAGAACTCACAGCTGAGGAAAGATGTCTGAGGCACAGTTGCCTAAAGTCGAGAACACAATGTTACTTTGTGAAGACAATAAATGGTTCTTCTGGGGCTGCTTAAATAACAAACAAAGCTACAGTGTTCTTCATACGTCAGGTGATTGATAACGTTCTCTTGCTCTCCTAAAAGTTGTATGTATGTATTTTCTTGAAGGAAGGCAAAGGGGATGTGGTATAATATAAATGTTTTTCCTGGAATGGGCTTCAGATGACTGCATAGCAAATCAACGAAGAAACCCCAGGTGGCCAGTACTGTGGAAGACCCCTTCCATTTCCACTGAGGGTTGTGTATTCTATAAGAAAGCTAATTAAAATATTTAAGAGGCTGGGGTAATTATTAGTCATTGTAGCACTTTTGTCTATTAGTCCAGACACACTGAAGTACCATAAACCTCACTGTACTTAAGGAGATAAGAACAACAGCTAGACTGTTGTTTTAAATTTTAAAAGACCTTTTGAATGATTTGCAGTCCAATCCTCAACATGTTTACCCAGACCAAAGTCCCACTGAGTTCAGGGGGATTTGCTTCCTGCTAAATATGCTTAGGGACTGCAACCCTCATCTAATTCTTTTTTAATGCTCACAAGAGCATCATGGTTTTCACATTGTATATTTTAAGGATGGCTCACTGCAGCGCCTATCCCATTGGAAGTCCAGGCTAACCAAAAATATATCTCGTCATATCCTAATATGTAGGGATATGTGACAAGGCACAAGGAGCAAGTTGTGTGTTTGCTGCGTGTGTGCTTGTGCTTCCTAGTGCATTTTGCTAAGTATAATTATTATTTGACACTGAAATGGTGAATGGCTATGTGCATTAATGAAGGCTTTAACATGGGGATTTTCCATGGGGCTATAATCAGGCCAAGGATGGGCTCTCTGAGCTTTAACTAAGTGGATAATTAACTGTTGTCATTCTCTAGTAGCTAACACTTGAGTGTTAAACTTTAGATCACATGGAAGGCTACTGAATTCAAAATCACCATCTTGGAAGGGTGTCTTTGTTCCTAGAGTTTGTGGAAGAAGGATGTAAGTGAATCTCTACAGGTAAGCAGCCTGATGCAGGCTGGAATGCAGACCTTTGCTTCTAGGAACTGTTTGGAATTATTTCATATTTTGTAAGATGCTGAGCCTGTGCATTTTACTGGTGTATGTCTTATGGAACTGTTTGGATGTATCATTTGATGTTTTAATTTTGTTATGAAGAAAGTTCTGCAAGTAAAGTTTTGAATAATATTTAATTGGTCTGGGCAATGTTTCATTTCCAGAAGGAATCAGATTTTATGTATCCAGACACTTCAAGCTGTGCAATATTAATATCTGCAATACTGTCAGCACATATATGAACAGTTGGTTTTATGACAAAAAAATTCCTTCAAGTAGCACCTTAAAGACCAACTAAGTTAGTTCTTGGTATGAGCTTTCGTGTGCATGCACACTTCTTCAGATACACTGAAACAGAAGTTGCCAGATCCTTCTATATAGTGAGAAGGTGGGGAGGGGTATTACTCAGAAGGGTGGTGGGAATGGGTGATTGGCAGATAGTTTTATGGTTGGTTTTATGGTAAGTGATACAGCAGAGAAACACCTCTAGATGATCACAGGGCAACTCTGTGTAGGGGCTATCGTTTAGCTACATAGAACAGAAAATGGGCCCTTTCTTTCCCAGTACATGTTTTTGTAGGCCACAGAAGTAGCAGGGAATAGTGAAATAATAAAAGTTTCATAAAGAAACAAAGGAAAGTGAGAGGCCAGGACATGAAGATGAGCATGAATAGGGAAGAAGCAGTAGCCCATTGGTCCCAGGCTCCTGTGCTGATCTAAACATCATGGCCCCTATGTAGAGTGTCAAAAACTATCTCCATGTGGTGCATTCTCCAGAAGATGTCATTTAACCACATTCCACCTTGACATTGTGTTGGGCATTTTCCACACCTTTATCACACATCCATAGGACTGGCAGGGTGATTTTAAACCACAGATCTTCAGCAAGTAGAGGTATACACCACAGCCCACAATATCAAATGGAAGCATTTGGAACAGCTTCCATGTAGAGGCCACAAGATGAAGATTGGTGTAGCTGGTGGGACCAGGTTGCTGAGGGAATTGGGGTGGTGGATGGAACAGACAAAAAGGCTGGGAGGATACACATAGGTAGCTATGTGTGAATGGGTTCAAGCTTCACTGGGTAGCAGAAGGCAGAGGATTACTACTTGCACTGCTAAACACAGGAGCCACCAAGATCAAATGTGTGTGTGTGATTGCGCCAATCTCCTATTTTCACAAGGTTGCTCAAATCCTAGGCTCCTGCCTTGTGTTTCAGGATGTCAGAAAGCCAAGCCCAGCACTCATTGTTTACGAGCCCCATAAATAAAAGCGTAGTGAACCCATAGATCCAGCACCTGGAAAAACCAGCTCTCTGTCATTTTTTCCCAAGGCTTTGAAAAGTTGGATGGAAAGTTCTACCAGCTCAATCAGATGCAAATGTATGATCAAGCTTTGATCAGCACAGACGTCAAAATAATGCTCAGAATAAATGTAACTTGGATTGCATGTAAAGAATGTGGCATCATAAAGCTTGGCTTGCTTCACCCAATATCCATCCTATCATTATTTTACTGCCAATACATTTCTTATGGGAACTGAGTATGACCTTTATGACAGCCTGATGATTGACTTAAGAGAGAATCAGAATATTTTTCAGTTCACAGCGTTTATCCGGTGATGAGAACAACGCTCCTAGATTGTTTGAGGTTGTCCAATTGTTCGGTGGATTCTAAGTGGAAACACAATCCTTCTTCTATCTCTGTCTGAATAATCACAGTCCTCTCTTTAGCTTCTGTCAAATCTAACCTAGTCTGGTTGAATTTAGGCAGCAGCACCATGAACTGCAGTAACAGTTTACTTATAGTTATTTATCCCAAACGAAAAAATGAATGACTTATACAAAATGTAACACTCCTGGAGGGAAAACATTATACAAAGGAGTTGCATTCATAGAAGCCAATGCACCACACTTTTAGATGCAATAAGACTTGTGCCAGCAGTTGGTACTTCCTGGAAGCTGGGGAAGAGACTGATCGCCACTGACCTCCTCAACATTTGCCTTTCGTTGCTGCCAACCTTCTCTGGAGCCAGGATATGGGAGTCAGCTATATGTCATCCAGTCTGGTGAGAGGACCCCTCCCCTCTGAACAATATTTAAGCCAGACTCAATAGAGGGCAGAAAAACCAATACCAGACACTTGATTGTCAAACCTTCCATTTGCTTTGTATATATGCACTTAAATACTTTGTACTTATGTACTTAAATATTTATGTACTACTTTAAAAATATATATATAACTGAATTTATTCTGTGTTTGTTAAATTTTTGGTTTTTGTCATTTTTGAATTTAACGGCATGCTCTGCGTTTTCATAAATTTGTATTTTGATGTTTTGAATGTTTGCAGCACAACTCATTGTGGAAAAAAGGCACATAAACCTTAATCAATCAATCAATTTGTTATCTGCTATGGTCTAAACCACAGAGCCTAGGGCTTGCTGATCAGAAGGTTGGAGCTTCCGTTGCTCGGTCCCAGCTCCTGCCAACCTAGCAGTTTGAAAGCACATTAAAGTGCAAGTAGATAAATAGGTACCGCTCCGGCAGGAAGGTAAATGGCGTTTCCGTGCACTGCTCTGGTTTGCCATGCTGGCCACATGACCCGGAAGCTGTACGCCGGCTCCCTCGGCCAGTAAAGCAAGATGAGTGCCGCAACCCCAGAGTCATCCGCGAATGGACCTAACGGCCAGGGGTCCCTTTACCTTTACCTAAAGATTATTTCCTTCCTATAGTCACCCACTATAGACATTTTGCTAATCTAACTGGCTCACAGCAACTGGGTTAAGTGTTTGGGGGTTCTATAGAAGGAGACCCCAATCCAACAGCATCTCGATCTAGCAATACATTAGAGGCCTGCTGGTTCCTCAGTCTTACATCAGGAAAGGCTCAGCTCCATCATTTAAAATGGCTGCATTTAGATGATACATCCTGGCCAAGTTATCAATGAGCCTCATACACCCCACATGCAGCTGCTTTGCTCTTCCCTTCATGTGAACTGGGAAACAAGTCAGAAAGCACTGAAGTACAATTTCCCATTGTGATTAAACTGGTGGGGGACTATGGTTAATGGCTCCAAACAAGCCAAGGGTAGCCAACTTTAAACCATGGGTTCATATCACATCTTGTTTTGAAACAATTCACCATAATTTCCCATTTTTTGACATAACAAAAAGCTACAGTTACACAATACATGTAAAGCATGTTACTTTCCCCAAAATATTCATGGGAATTGTAGTTCATTAAAGGGTGCTGGGAATTATAATTTTGATGAAGATTCACATTTTAAATTTGTGGTGTGTATGCACTTGTTCACTCACTTGTGCAAAGGAAAGAGGGAAGTTGTTGTTGTTGTTGTTGTTAAAACCTATGTCCCCCCAAATAATTTTATGCTGAAACTTTGTGGTGCCCCCACAAATAAGATGTGTATGCCTCAGAGTTCAAATGGAAGATATACATCATGGATGGAGTCACAAAAGGGGGAAAATAACTTAATCTGTCATTTTTTGTATGTGGATATTATGATCCACTATGAGTCCATAGTTTATTTGTTTTTTATCATGAAGCACAAGGGATATTTGCAGGGCTAGCTGCTTTGGTGCTTACAGAAGGAATAGAAACACACGCTAATAATATTGCATCTCTTAACATCAAACCTATCTGGGTGGCCATGTTTTTGATTACCTCACACTTGTTTAGCAAGCCACTTTCTTGCAGCCTCGACCAGATGCTTTGTATTCTTCCAGCGTGCTCAGGGTGGTTGCTGTAATTTCCACACATGCACTGGTGCTTCAACATTAGCGTGTCGTACGCAACACCTTCAGCATAAAGACAATATAACAAGAAATGATAAGTACATTCTCAAGGACCGCCTCTCCCTATATAAACCGACCCAGACTCTCTGTTCCTCTTCTGAGGCCCTTCTTCATGTGCCACCTCCATGAGAGGTCCAGAGGCTGGCAATGAGAGAGCAGGCCTTTTCTGCGGTGGCTCCCAGTTTGTGGAGTGCTCTTCCGAGAGAGGTTCGTTTGGCGCCTTCATGATATATTTTTAGGTGCCAGCGAAAACATTCCTCTTCAACCAGGCCTTGGACTGATTAACGTTCTATAGCCTTTTAAATTTATTTGTGGGAAGGGGGTGTTATTATTTTGATTTTAACTATTTATTTGTGCATTTACCTTGCATTTTTATCTTGTGGACTGCCCTGAGATTTTACGATGAACAGAAGTATATAAAAACACACAACAAACAAACAAACAAATGCCTAACCATTTGCCTTCTCAGTAAGCAACAGAGGGCCAACTACATGTGGCAAAGAAGTTTCACAAACCTTTCCCAGTCTTTTAGGGTGCAATTCAATCATTCTGAGGACTCTCCTGACTTAACTATGGTTTCTCTTCAGATCGTATAAATCTTTTGCCTCAAAGGATCGTTAATTCTGTTTGAATCCAGTAAAAATAAAATAGAAAATGCTGCATTTTTTGGCCTTTGTCAGAAACGTTCAGCTCACACTGTTTGACAGTAATATATTTGCCCTTCTAACTGCATCGTGTCTGATGAAGAGTTTCTTGGTTTCAAAAAATGAAATCTGAATGGGTCCCCCCCCCTTTCCTTCTTCATTCACTTCAAACATCTAAATTGATTTAGGATGTGCAAATAATTCACTTCTGCAGCTGCGGGTCACGCAGCACGTGTGCTACAGTACCACAACACAGCAACAGAGTTGCCTTCTAAAAATAGACAGTAGGATTCCCTAACACAATCCAGCCAAGGCTACAGCTCCCACCCCCAAAGTAAAGAGAGAAGAGACAAATGTTTTCAATTGCTAGCTGCTGTGGAATGTTAGTGGGAGATAATTATTCAGCCTGGAATGTTGTCTTCATTGAAGCCAGTGGCAAAATTCCCCACTGAAATCAGAAGATCCAATATTTTCACTTGCTCTTTTCCTCTTTCTGCAAAACCCTGCTCCTGCTTTGAGTCAGATGCTCATCTAATTGCAGTCCTGTAAATCACGAATTTGCCTCCACAGATGTCAGGGTGGAAACTGACCTCCAGAGAGAAATATACATGTATTTCAAATGCATCACTTTTTATTATCCTTAAGGCTCACAGTGGGTGACAACCTTTATGAACGTTCACTGAACGGGGCGATGAAATATAAAGCAGGGAAGGATCCCAAACTTCTCCCTTGCCTGCCCAAGTGAAAAGCTGGGCATCAGTCTCAGAAAGCGGTCAGACTATCTGCTGTGAAATGGGTGCCATGAAAAGGCAGCAGAGGGGCTGTAGCTCATGCGGAACGTCCTGGGTTTAGTCCCCAGCATCTTGAGGTAGGGCTGGGAGAGACTTGTGGGAATGTTCAGGGAGGCTGTTGTTGTTTAGTCGTTTAGTCGTGTCCGACTCTTCGTGACCCCATGGACCAGAGCACGCCAGGCACCTCTGTCCTCCACTACCTCCCGCAGTTTGGTCAAACTCATGCTGGTAACCTCGAAAACACTATCCAACCAACTTGTCCTCTGTCGCCCCCTTCTCCTTGTGCCCTCCATCTTTCCCAGCATCAGTGTCTTCTCCAGGGATTCTTCTCTTCTCATGAGGTGGCCAAAGTACTGGAGCCTCAGCTTCACGATCTGTCCACTCAGGGCTGATTTCCTTAAGAATGGATACGTTTGATTCAGGGAGGCAGGAGAGGATATATTGTTTCTTAATATCCTTCCTAACTTGCGCTAGCAAGTTCTATGCCCTTAGCAGAGTTTTAACATTATCCTTTAAACGCACAGCGGGTAGCTGATTGCAAGCTTGTTTAAGCTTCTCAATATAGATTCCTGGTAAGATCCCTTAGTTCCCTCTTAAAAGAATAAACATGCCACAATCTTATTTAAGATATATAAAAGTAGTTTACTCACATCATCAGTTCACAGCTGGATCCCTGAAGGCAGACTTAGTTACAGATATATATACATGTGGATCTACCCCATATGGAGGGTTAATCCCAGTGACTGCAGACTGGCAGTCACTGCAGCTCACACGACGAAAGGAAGATAGAGAAGAAGGGAGCAGGGCTGCGGGCCTTGTGCTTTTGTTACCTGAACAGGTAAGGCCACGCCCACCTCTAGTCACATGCAAGAGGAAGTATGTCCCAGCCCAGGAGGAAACAGGAAGTTTTTGACTGGCTGGTCCCAACATCCCCTTGCATGTCCACTCTAGGAAAGCAAGGAATGTTGTACTTGACTGCTACTTATGTATCACATCCCACAAGACTCCAGTCTGAAACCCTGGAGATCCACAGCCAATCAGTGTAGGCAATACTGAGCTAGATGGCCAATGGTCTGACTCAGTATAAGTCTGTTTTCTCTGCTCCTAGCTACTCAATGTATTACTGTTGCATTTTTACTACTGAGGTATGGGAGAGGTGCTTGCAGAATTTTCTTTTTCAGTTACCAAAATAATTTGACTTGCCTTGGGTACTGCTCACCTTGACTTGTGGCATCATGGTGACCCAGAAGTGGCCAGAAAAGGGGGTGGAATGGGCTTATGTGTGCTCCATCATTCACTTGCAATGACCCGGAATGGAAATCAAGGGTTGCCTGTATATAAAGCCCTTAACAGCTTGCGACCGGTTCACGTAAGGCCTTGGCCCCATACCTGCCAATTCAATCACTTTGATCTGTGAAACTTGCACGTCTACTACTGTCACACAAAGTTCTTTAGTGTGGCAGCATTTGTGCTTCAGAACTCCCTGTGACCCTCACTGAACTCTTTCAGATGCCCACCAAAAGCCCCACTGCTTCGACAGCCCTGTCTAGAGCACACCTATCTGTTTTTAATGCGTTGTTTTTAGGTGCTTCTAACAATTTCTAAATACTCACAGTATGCTTTTGCCTCATTTTTAATTGTATTTTTTAAACAACAGATGTGTTTGCCACCCTGCCCAAAGGAACACACACAGCAGAGAGTTAACTTATCAAAGATAACACTTACACTCGTTTCTACAGCTCTGGAGACCTGCACACCCCAATCTGGCGTCTAGACAGCTATTCCCAGATTTGCGCTCTGTGAAGCAATTGTAGCATCAGGGGACCATTCATCCATTTATGCACCTTCCCCTGACGGGTTGTGCACATGTAGCCTGAGACTGCACCTGAGTGGAAGCTGCCTCTGTGCTTTCTGTTTCAGTTCTTTCCTGGTTCTGGGAGACAGTGGGGCAGGGGAAGTGGGGCAGCACCCGGCCATTCACTGGCCTGGTCTGCCTCTTCTTCTTCCTTCTCTTCATCCAGCTCTGAAGCTTCCCCTGCCTCTATTCTTTCCTCCTGGTGGGTACAGGTCGGACTCCAGTCCCTGGTACACACTCATCATTGTCCTGTTAGTCCCTGACATACCCCGGGCTCCGTTGGGAGGAAGGGTGGGGTATATATTTAATAAACAAACAAACAAACAAACAAACAAATAAGCACCCCTTGGCTTTGCATGAGACTCTGTGAAAGGAAAGTCCCACAAGCCGGGCACAAGCCACACAAATTCCTCTGCCTTTGCTGTCAGTGACTCAGTGCTGACATTTGGAGCATGGAGAGCGTGCCTGTATGGCCTTAGTTGAAAGCCTTAACGGGAGGATTAAGAGATTTCAAAAAGCTCAATATCAGGTCCATTAAAGTGAACCCACAGTGGGATGTGAAGAAAGTCAAGAAAAAAATCAAACAGGCTTTAAGATGAGATCAAATCCAGTAAACGTTGCTATTTTGTAATTATAATTATTATTCATTAAATTTATATGACGTCCTTTGTCTGAAGATCGCAGGGCAGTTCACAAGATAAAAATAAAGGATAAAAGCACAAAATGAATAGCTAAAATCAAAACAAACCCGTAACAATAATTATAGCCCAAATGCAACCCAAATACATTTCAAATATCATTCCTCATTACGGAAATTGTACTTTTTTTGTTTGCAAAAGTATCAACTTTCTATTATGGCTGAAATTTAGTGGACTTTAATCTCTGATACATTTGGATAAAAGGGAGAGTGTGAGATGTCGTTGGGGGGAGGGAAAACCCACCCGCAAACCCTGAAGCCCCCTTCTTATCTCTCTGTAATTCAAAGAGCACATGCGCCAGCAAGCACCTACAAATACCACAAGCACAAGCCAATCAGCCTTTGCTGAAAGCAGGTATCCCTTCCCCGTAACTGATCAGGTCATTTGTGTCTCAATTGTGACTTTGCTTGTCGCAGTGAAGAACAACACCTTCTGCATCAGCGAGTGGCATTCTTACTGGAGGCGAACGACGAGCCTCAGCGTTATATATACCCCAGTTGTGCAATTTCGTAAGGGTCTTGTTTCAACTTGGCGGTGGTCTCAACAGAGGCAAAAAAGAGGCAACATGGAGGGAGGGAGAAAGAAACGAAAGTGGGGGGGAGGAAATGACATGAGTTGGGGAGGGAACCGAAATGCACCTGTTGCTCAAGTTATGGAGCCAAGTCAACGGTATTAATTTATGAGTGTGTGAATATTATCTCTTATCAGCTGCACTCGTTGACTGGCAGCCAATAAAGCATCATAAAGTCCAGTAGGATTGAGGTTAGAAATGAATGCATTGCTACGGCTACGAGAGGCATTTGTGGCATTTAAATCAATTGATCCTACATGAAGCGTGCATTTACTCCGCCTGTTAAGCAGAGCCTTCAGGGAGTCCTACCAGTCATGAAGCTATGAGCTACAGGCTGATCCGCCGCTGGGTGAGGTAATGCAGGAGTCGCTGGGGAAGACTGTGTCCTGGCAATGGGCTGGCGTCTGTCCAATTGCGCCATGCCAACTGCAGCCATCTGAGCCCGGTACATTTGCAACTGCTGGATTCGCCGACGCTCCAGGATCTGCTGTTGTCAGGAAAGAAGCACAGTGGAAAGAAATGTGAGGAGGGATCAAGTGGAAGACTGGAGGGAAATGTGGGCAAAGTAAACAAGGCCCACCTGAGAGCTACTCAATAAATCTGCCCAATAGATGTGTTCACATTGAACCTCTCCAAGTGCCCCTATTTTCCAGAGACAGCCCTGAAGTTACAGAAGCCGCCCCAGTTTCTGATTTGATCCCAGAATGTCCTGCTTTTCCTTAGGATATCTCTATTGTCATCGGAGAAATGTTGGAGGATATGGAGCTATGTGGAAACCCCCCCCCCACACACACACACCGAGCCAAAGAGATAAGTAACTATAGAGCCTTTAGGAGACTTCTGAAGGTAACCTTGTACAGTGGTACCTCAGGTTAAGTATTTAATTCATTCCGGAGGTCCGTTCTTAACCTGAAACTGTTCTTAACCTGAAGCACCACTTTAGCTAATGGGGCCTCCTGCTGCCGCTGCACCACCGGAGCACTATTTCTGTTCTTATCCTGAAGCAAAGTTCTTAACCTGAAGCACTATTTCTGGGTTAGCGGAGTCTGTAACCTGAAGCGTATGTAACCCGAGGTACCACTGTACAGGGAAGTTTTTTAATGTTTAATGTTTTATTATGTTTTTATATAGGTTGGAATAGGAGGTTCCCTATTTTCATTGGAGAAATGTTGAAGGGTATGTCAGAGGCTGCATCTCTTGCCAGGCCCAGAATAAGTTCTGCATCTTCTACCAGGTAGCTGCAGAAGAAAACTCCCATCAGGGGAATACAGAGACTGGAAAGAAACAGATTCAGTAACAAGATCTCAAACGAGGCCACATGATCTAAACAGAAGAGATCACCCAATACAGCTTCAGAAAGATGATCAGATAAGGTGGACGCTTCAGGAATGCTTATTGATTCAAGCAACAAATAATAAAATTATTTTCACAGTGACTCAGCCCTTAGGTATGACTCATATCAGTTTTCCTAATGCTCCAGTACAATTCTGATGCTCCATTGCAGAACTCCACGTGGGCTTTGACACACATGTGTAGCTCTTGTGCATGCAGGGTATCATATATATTTCAATGAAGGGAGCAGATCCTTGGAAAGAGAAAGGTTCATTGAGATCTACGTCTCCCATTGAAGTGAATGGAGTATTATTTCCACATCAGCAATGACCCCTTGGCTCCATTCCCAGTTATTTAAGAAGTCCTTCACCATGTGAAAAGGGACCCAAGCCTTACATCTAATAACTGTCACACTAATGTGGATTTAACAAAACAACTCTTCTGTGTTCAAGGACTTTACATGGGAAAACTCTATTTCGGAATAATAGAACACATGATTTTACCCAGTAAAGTGGTCTCCTAATAAATCATATGCTATCTCAACAGGGTGTGAATAATACCATTGTGCTTAGGCCTGCTTATTCAATTCCTCGCTTGGGCTTTCCGAATTATTAGGTGCTTACACAACAGGCAGCTGAAAGTGGGGGGATGCTTTGCTTGGGGAGGGGGAAATCCCGATGACTAGAAATACAAGACACAAAATATTCCGCATAATTCCACCCAGCACCCCTGCAAAAGCCACATCCAGCCACACACACACTAATAATGTGGGAATATGTCCTTCACACACAAGCCCCAATTGCACTATATATAAAAATCATAGAATTGTCCAAAGTGGGGCATGAACTCAGGACCCTGGAATTAAGAGTCTCACGCTCTACCGACAGAGCTATCTCAGGTCTTATCCTGACACTTTAAACAGTAACGGCTTCTCCCAAAGAATCCTGGGAACTGTAGTTTGTTAAGGGTGCTTAGAGTCATTTGGATACCCTTATTGCCTTCGCCACAATTCCCAGAGTCCCCCAGGAAGAACGGACTGACTGTTAACCACTCTGAGAATTGCAGCGCTAATTTTGTACCTTTCTTGAGCATAGATGTGCACAAAACGTGTATAGATGCAAACTGAGAATCACTATAATTTAAATAGAAATTCTGTACATCTCACCATCGTGGGGAAGACTGTGGCCGGGTGATCACTGTTGATGACCAACCTCAAGGTTCCTTTTCACCCTTCTTATTCTGCTTTGTTTTCAAAGAAATGCTTTTCCAATAGAGAACTGTCTGTAAAGGGCCACCCTAAACGCATCTGACCCTCTCTCACTGCCATCTCTGCCCAAAGCAACTCCGCTGAAGTGAACTTGGAAGCTATGGAGGTGCTCTTAATGTGTTCGCCATTTCTCAGGGAGTGGAATCTTTGGGGCATTGCTGTATTTAATGTGAGATCACTCATTGCCAGAGTGAGTTAATTTCGGGTTGGGCAGGGAGGAGTGGGGGTGTCTATACTTGCTGAGCTAGGTAGAACGAGAGGATCAAAATGTGGAAAATAAAATTAGGGCTGTGTTAGCACATACTATATTACAGGCTGTGCAGCACAGCAGAGTTTCCAGCTTCTGATGTCTCCAACTGATTTTGGACCAAGGAAAGCAGAATACATTTTAAAGTAATCATAGCAACTGAGACCAGTGGAATTATGTGGATGTACAGGAAAGCCCCAGTAAATGTTAATGGATATTCTGGCATTAGCAAGACTTGAAAAGAAAAAAAAAGAGAGCGGGGAGGGAGATGAAATCCCAAGGGTGCACAAGGAAAGAGAGATTTTATTGGCCCAATGCACATTTTAAAAGCTCGCCGCTGCGTTCTCTTGTTGTCCTAACAGAATTACACCACATAATGGCATGCTTTCAAAGTACCCCCAAAGAATTTTAATTCAAAGTGCACTTTGAATAAATAAAATATTTATTTTTGTGCACCCCATGGGGTTTCATCCCCCCCCTACTTATTTCCCTGTTATTGGTACTGCCTTCTCTTTCTTTGGTTTCTTTAGCTTGTGATTGGCCACAAAGGCAAATGCAAATTAGTGAGCGATCAAAGCATTAAATCAATTCTCCCATGTGGAGCATAAGGAAGATGCTATGAAATTGGCTTTTGTCCTCTCTCTCTCTCTCTCTCTCTCTCTCTCTCTCTCTGTGTGTGTGTGTGTGTGTGATGACTGCTGCACTATCTTAAAAATCAAACCATAAGTAGATCAAGGACGTCTGCTGGCACTTTGGCACTGGGGCCTGTTTCTGTACCCCACAAGAGCAATTCCACTGCACTGCTAAATAAACCAGTTTTCATTACATCCAGCTTTTCTAGCATTCACTCTCCCAAAATTAAAGCCGCTCCAGAATTTATTTATTTTTTCATCATTCACTGAGAGAGAATCACAAATCAATTGTTTCGTTGTGCAGTTTCGGATCACGTAACACACCACAACACAGTTTCCTAAGCACACACCACACTCTTGAGGAAAGCCACAATGTGTGACAAACATACATGCCATGTGTAAATGTGGTGGGAAGCCATGCAGGAGATAGTCATGAAATAGACACATATGAGTCTGCCGCACATTCTGGCACACAATGTGCTCTTCCTACATAGAAGTGGCGTTTCTGTAAGAAACTGTCTTAGTTAAAGTATTCCAAAGAGGGGAGTTAAGCAACACCACCTTAGTTCTTTTCTGAGGATGTGAGAACTTAGATTACAGGCTGTAATCCTGGAGTAACTCCCATTTAACTCAATGGGGTTTTCTGAGAAGGCATATACAGTCGTACCTTGGAAGTCGAATGGAATCCGTTCCAGAAGTCCATTCGACTTCCAAAACTTTCAAAAACCAAAGTGCAGCTTCTGATCGGAAGCTGCAGAAGGCTCGTCGGACATTCGGCTTCCAAAAATAGTTCGCAAACTGGAACAGTCATTTCCGGGTTTATGGCATTCGGAAGCCAAAATATTCGAGAACTATGCTGTTTGAAAACCAAGGTATGACTGTATAGGATTGTACCATTAACCTGCAATCCTCTATCCACTAACCTAGGAGTAAGTCGACTGAACTCAGCCAGACATGCTTCTGAGTAGACATTCACATGAGTATGCTGTTAAACTAGACTCCTATGAACATTTGCTTAGGAGAAAGATCAGTTGAGCTCCCTGGGGTTTACTTCTGAGCAGGCATGCATCTGATGGTGTTACTATTTTTTTTTAAGCTGAAATACATACCATAACATACATACATACAACAATATTTACTTGTTGAGGGGATCTGTGCTGTGCTTTATCAAAACCAAATCTGGGTATGGAACAAGATCTAATTATTACAGATGCTCCTTCATCTTGCTCTTGCGTGTTCAATGGGAAAGGGATCATGCGAGTGTGATTAATTTTTCAAAATAAGTTTTAACTATCCATGGTAAGAGTACAAAGACCTTAAATCCCAGATTGTGCAAAATGTTGATTCTAATTGTTCTGTTTAGCTGGCCTTGGCTTGTGACAAGCTTGGTATTTTACAGATTTCCTACCTGCCACCCTCCCTTTTAGCAAGTGAAGTTACACAGATGACTCTTCTTGAAGCTCACCTCTTTATTCCTAATTATCTTGGCCCTGTGTTCACTCAATGAAATACTGCCGTTGTCCCTGAGAGTTCTCATTTGGGATGAGTGACAAACTAAATTATCCAGCATTTCGATATGTAAAAAGAAAACCTCACTGAAAGGCAACCATGCATTTAAAAAAAAAATTTTTTTTTTGCTACCAACAGATTTTTCACTGCTGTATTGGCACTGATCCATAACTTGATGATAGAAACTGCAACAATACCCAGAGGGTTAAAGGTAGCATACAAGAACTAGATAAGAACAGTGATCTATACACAACACTAGCCATTGGTGATGATAGTGTCCTTTTAGCTATGCTATGCTAATTTAGATTGTAGGTGGAGCTAAATCTGCTTTTCCTGTTAGGTCTGCCTTGCACAGAATTAAATTTGCTAAGGTCAGCAGCTTCAGCTCTCTTTACTGGAGACTTTGGGGTCAACAAGGGAGTGACCTGGGAGACTGAAATGTTTCCCCACTAGTTTCTGAATGCTGCCCTTTTTAATAATGCCTCTTTTACTTGCTGTAT